AGAGCTTTTCCAAGACTTTATCTACAGTCAACGAACATTTTCTATCGCTAGATGATCGACTACCTATGAATGTTTGGCCCTCATTTCAACAAAAATTTTCTTCTTGTAGCATTCTTCGTGATACTGTTTATTTCCATCATAAATCCATTTTCCAGAGTAACCATTTTCAGGGTTGAAGCTTATCACATCGAAGCAAGCACTACATCGTGGTCCTGCATACTGCATGTAGCATTCCTCGTGATACTTGCATCCATTATAGACACCCCACCTTCCAGACAAACCTTTATCGGGGAATGCAATCAGTGCAAAACAGCAGTGTTCACATTTTGGCCCTTTGCTCTTCAGGTAACATTCAGAATGGTATGCCTTAAGAAAAATAAAAATATTAACAAAATTAGAATCATTCTAATTTCTGCTGCAGCTGGGTGACAAATAATTATTATTTGTCACTCGGCAGCAGGTCATCAGATGATGTCTGGCCAAAATTTGCCCACGTCCAATGAAATCCCACCTGCCCTCAGACATGATGAGTGACAGATCAAATACCAAATTCTAGAAGGACTATAAAGTTGGGACTTTGGGGGTCAGTGAAACCCAAATGGCAAGTTAAAATTAATAATTAAGTTCAAAAAGGGGTGCTTCTTGTTTGGTTCCAGTCAGTTAATTTTTTTAGTTGAGGATTCAGCCCCAGGGAGTTTTTAGGGTTTGATTTTTCTCCCCACTTGATCATTCCTGTCACTGTCAATCCAGAGTATCCCCTGCGATTTATCATATTTTGAGCTTGGGAGAAAGGGAAAACCTCAGTCCTTGTCAAGATTGGAACCTACTGCATCATATGCTGGTGAGGAGCTCTACCCACTGTTGAGGTAGGTCATTTCCAAAGTTATACAGCACTGCTAGGATTAGAAATGCCTTTGTTTTACCAGCTTTGGTGGACAAACACCTACCCAGTAGGGATGGGAACAAATGGGTCTCACAGGTCCTATACCAGTTGCACTCCCGACTCCCCTACCCAGCAACCCCACAATCTTTGTCTTTAAAGGATCTTAGGAAGTGAATTTTCAACTTGATGAAGGAATAAAAATGATGCAACTTTCGTGTGATATGGGAGAAGGGAGGAAGAGTAAATGAAAAAACTGAGTGTCTGCATTCAAAGTCATGGCCTAGACTAAGAGCACCTAAGCTCGCTTCTACTATAAAATAGGATTCACATTAATTTCCATTTTTTTTTACATTACCATCTTGCTAAGTGATCTTCACATGTATAAGGTCCCTTACAATAGAAGTAATATAAAATCAAACATACTTCAGTAACTTTCCCCAACAAAGTACACTGTCATAAGTAAGTTGAGTATGATCGTGTGGGTGAACATAGTCCTGAATAGGACTGTTGTCGACAGTGACTGATGTTTTGACAACCTGTCAGTCATTGTCAACAACAGGGGTTACATTTATCTGGACGATCATGCTCAATTTACTTATGAAATGACTGGGTTCAAACCTTTCACAGTTTTAAAGTACACTGTATTTAGCCTTATGACACCAACATGCTCAAATAACTCTTAATTTTCATTTCAAGCCAATTGTATTAAAAGCACTTAATCAAAATTCTTGACACTACCACATGTTCGACATTGAAGTTTAAAGCTACAAAAATTCAGTCAAGTCTGAATGATAGCCTTACACCATATCCAGTGCATGATAGTCAATATAATACATTCATTTCATCTAACAAACTAGTGACAACTATTTATCTCTGTTCATAAAAAACTAGCCATCACATAAAAAACTATCACGGTCTGATAAAGAAATCCCGAGCTTCTCTCAACATCAATGAAATGCCACCAACGAGTTTGTTTAGAGTGGAATCTGATCACAATTTACCCTGTTCAGTTGCGAGGAGATTCCCTACTTAAGCGACTTATATTAGTGAAAGGCATCGAATGCAAAAATATTTGATTTGAACTTAGTTTTCTTATATCATTAAGAAGTGATTATCTCATGTATTAATTCTGTATATTTACCTTTAATCCCAACCAGACCATTTCTCCGCTGAAGCCCTCACTTTTGTCTGGTTGAATTCGATCGAAACACGTACAACATCTCTCTTCAGTGTCACTCGGAAAGACAGCGTTTAATTCACCCAAAAGAGCTTCCTTATCCTGGCTCACATAGGGAGGTGGAAGAGTTGTAGGCAAAGACATTGCTCCTTCCATCGCTTCACAATATGGCGGTGGAGCATCAGTGTAGCCAGACGTAGAGGGAAGTTCTTTCTTGGACATGTCGGTGGAAGGTCCACTTTCAACTGACGAAGGTTTCGGTTGAAGTTTCTCCTTTGCTAGAGCCAAATTGCCGTTGCATTCTCGAAGAACTTTCTCAGCTTGTTGTCTAGAAGCTCCCGTTTCGCTTATAAGCTTTGACAGCCCCGATTCAAATTCTTTGTCACCGAAGAGTTTCTTCCACATATTGCCACATATTTTTTGCTTTCTCGATGGTAGTATTTAAATGAAACAGCTGCCAGAGGAGCGAGAACTGGAGACAAGAACACGGAGCTCAGCTGCTGCTATTTTTAGCAACTAAGCTGATGTCATTTTTGTAACTGGTTTCAACTACAGGATTACCAGGTATTTCTCAGTGATTTCTGTTGCTTTTGTCTCTCGACCTCTTACTAGTAACAGGTATTTTATTTTACTGGCATGT